GAAATAATGTACATAATGTAGCTAGAACAGTGACCCAGAGTAGAACTGTCCCCATAGGGTTTCCAAGGAGTGGCTGGTGGATTTGAACTGCCGACCTTTTTGTTTAGCAGCCAAACTCTTAACCACTTACCACTACACCCCCAGGGCTCCAATAATAACAGTTCTAACCTCACAGGATTGAGGATGAAGTGAAATAATGCACATAATGTAGCTAGCACATAATGTACCAGCACATGGTAAGCTTTAAATAAATGTGAGTTACCGATATTTCTCAGAGGGACAGAAGCAAAAGAGGCCTTAGAGGTCACCTGGTCCTGGTCCAGAGAGGGACGGGGTTTTTCTCTTGGTCACACAGCAAGTCAGAATATGTCATAGTAACACTGAGACTGGGGATGGGGTGGGTGGGAGCTCCGGGTTCTAGTATCTTGAGTAGTGCAGGCCAGAGATTGCTCTGGCATGGAGAAAAAGGAGTGGGGAAGAACGCTGACTATGGAATCAGAGACCAGGATTCAAACTCCTATCCTGCCCTTACTAGCTGTGTGACCTTGAGCAGATCCCTTCACCTCTCTGAATCTCATTTTCTTTAACTTGTAAGTGATGTTAGTCATACCTACCTCACAAGGTTGTTTATTCATTTAATGAAATTTATTTATTGATCATTTACTATGAGCCGGGGGTGTGTTGCTGCTGCTGCTATTGTTATTGGTTGCTGTTGAGTCGATTCCGACTCATGGTGACCCCATGTGTACAGAGTAGAACTGCTCCATAGGGATTTCAAGGCTGTGACCTTTCAGAAGCAGATCGCTAGGCCTATCTTCTGAGGTGTCTCTGGGTGGATTTAAACCACCAGCCTTTCAGCTAGCCATTGAGCACTTAACCATTTGCACTACCTGGGCACCTGGCTATGTGTTAGGAGCTGGAAATCCAAGTGGTGAACAAGACAGATAAGTCCCTGCCCTCATGGATAAGAAAGGTAATGGATAAAATAATTGCAGAGAAGAGCTCTGAGGAAAATAGAGCAGGGGGTGGGGAAAAGCTGGGTTGGGGAGAGTGGTGCTGACGTTAGACAGTAAGGCCAGGGAAGGCCTCTCTGAGCAGGTGACGTTTGAGTCAGAACTCACTATGGGAGGCTCTGGGTAAAGCAATCTCCTGGCAGAGGGAAAAGCAAGTGCAAAGGCCCTGAGGCAGGAGTATGCTTGGTATGTTAGAGGAGGAGGCTTGTGTATCTGGAGGGCTGTGAAAGAGGGGGAGCAGTGGGGACAGTCAATAGAGGCCTGAACATTTGCCTCTCATGGTCCCCAGTAAAGAGTTTGGATTTTCTTCTAAGTGGGTTGCGGATCACCAGAAGGCTTTTAGCAGGAAAGAGACATAATTAAATTTATATTTTTAAAGGATCCCTCTGGCCGATGTGTAGAGGATAGCCAGTTTGGGGCGGGGTGGGGAAGGGTAGCAGCAGGGGCAGGCTGTTGAGCTGTGCAGGCTTGAGGTGATGGTGGCCCGCCAGGTGCGGAAGGAGTCTGATGAGGAATTGAATTAGACAATGTCAGAAACCCCTCCCGCCTGACCTGGTGCAGGCTCCATGCATGGAACTGAGCTAGATGAGGCTTCTAGTTCCCGAGAGTGGCATCTTGGGGGCTTGGGGACATGAGAGCAGGGATCAGGCAGGCTCTGGTGGCAAACCTAGCATGGGTGGTGTCTCTCTCTCTCTCCTTCTCTCTCATTCGCTCACTCTCTTGCTTACTTGCTGAGAACTGCTGCTGCTATTACTCCCCAAAGACTTTACATAATTCTGGCCCAGATCCCTCTTCATGATGTCATGCGCCAAGTGGAGTCTAGGTCACTCCGTTGCATGCTGCGGTCGGTGGGAGAACAGAATTCTGGCTCCCCTGGTGATGTGGCCTGGCGCAGACCCTCCCCATGCTGGGTGGGGGCAGCAGGTGGGGGGGCAGTCAAGCCCTGGCCTCAGGCCCATTTGGCCTGCTCAGGCAAGGGCAGAGCCTCCTGTGGTGGATCTGGCTGATGCGTGGTGGGGAGTGGGTTTTGGGGCCCATCTCCCCAGAGCCCTGGGCCCCTGGAGCCCAGGCCCCAAGCATAAAGAGGCAAGCTGACCTGACATCAGCCCCTCTTGCTAGGTTGCCTCATGGAACCTCAGTTTCCTACTCTGTAAAATGGGGACAAGGATACCCAATCTTGTGGGGATGTGTGGCTTCAGTGGGCTCACACAGGTGCCAGGCTGATGGGTAGTAGAAGCTGTTCTGAGGACAGAGCTCAGGCACGTGCTGGGGGAGAGGCGAACAGAGCAGAGTCTCCCCTTGGACTCACGTGGGCCCCAGCCCTGTGGCTTCACCACTTTCCTTACAGTCGCCCATCCCTGCCGAGCCCCCAAACTCGACTCCCCACTGCCGGAGAGAACCAGAAGAGGGTAAAATCCCCTCCCTCATGCACAGATGAGGAAACTGAGGCTCAGAGGGGGATGTGGCTTGCTCAGGGTCACACAGCCTGGGATGGCAATGCCAGAAGTGGAATCTGAGCCCGTGAGTCCCAACCCGAACTGCTTTCTGATGTACCTCGCGGCTGTGGGGATGGCTGTGACCCTGGAGGATACCTGGGAAGTTCAGATCAGAGGGCAAGACTTGGGGAAACAAGTTCTGCTCCATCTCCACCCTTTGCCACACATCTGATTTTTCCACTATGTTTTTTTTTTAATCATCAGGAAAACTGTTATATAGTTATTAGGGAACTTAAACAAGTTGCTGAGTTTCCTCTGCTCAACCTCTGAGAACAGGGAGCTAGGCTCTTTATGGCATCATTTTGAATAAGCCTCACAATAACTGTTAAAGATTAGAGATGATGTGGCGCGAAGAGTTAAGCGCTTGACCACTAGCCAAAAGGTTGTGGTTTGAACCCATGCAGAGGCGCCTTAGAAGACAGGCCTGGTGATCTGCTTTTGAAAGGTCACAGCCTTGCAGACCTCATGGTGCTGTTCTACTCTGCACACATGGGGTTGCCATGAGTCAGAACTGACTCGACAGCAACTAACAACAATATCCTCATTTTACAGACGAAGAAACTGAGGTCCCACGTCATACAGTTGGCAGGTGGAGTCAGGAATTCATGTCTAGATCTGTGCATTCCAGTGCTTTCCCCTTTTCCCTTATACATGCTGCCTTCATCAGTAGAAGGTCCTAGGAGCTGGAGACCCTCATGACCCACCCAGTCCCTATCATGTGTGAGGCCTGAGCTAAGGGAGGAGATGGAGAAGCAAGTCCCAGAGCTGCTGTGATGTTTGGCCCTGTGTTCCTGGGACCAAGCTAACCAGGGAAATTATAGGGAGTTTGAATTAAAGGGGAACAGGGAGGATCGAGGGCTTGTATCACCCCCCTCATCTTGGCGTTGGTTAATACTCCTGACTCAGTGTTTACTAGAGATGGGGGGAAGGTGGAGGGAAGAATGTGCCTCCCCTTGTTTCTAGAATTACTAAATTCTTGTTAGATCTTTAAATTTTATGTAAATTCTTATTTTTTTCATGGAAAGGTGGGTATCATATTTTAATTAGTAGTAGTGTCAAAGGAGGGCTAGATTAATTATTGGAAATCTCTAGTTCCAGATGGTTTTAATTTTCACAGCAGGGCACTAAGGTATATATTTTTAAAAAAATTTATTAAAATCATACCTAGTGTATTTTAGGGGCACTGAGGTACACTCTTTGTGGCTCCAAGGATACTGTACTCAGGAATTTGGGGCTGTGATTTTTGTTATGGAGAAGTAAGCCCCTTGTCACTGAAATTAAAATTTTGTGGGTGAGGGAGGGGCAGATGCAGGAAGGGAGTGTGAGAATGGGGGTGGGGTGCAGAGGCAAAGAAAGCAGCAGTGGAGGCTGGGGAGGGGAAGACCAGGCATAGGGGTTCAAGACCAGAGAGGAGAGTGAGCTCAGAGAGGGTGCATCTCTTGCCCAAAATCACACAGCACCCTAATGGGGAGAAAATGTGGACTGGCAGAGGGACAGAGAAGGATCTGGACATAGCATACCTAGTCAGTGGATGATGACCGTTTAGCAACTTGTTGTCCTTGTTTAGTCAGAGCTGTGGGGGGTCATCTCTGGACAACCCCGTCCTGAGGGGGTGGCCTAGCATGGGGTCTCCCTCTCCTAGACCAGGGGATATTCAGTTCTGATTGGGACTTCTGGGCTCCTGGGAGTTAGTCACCTCTCAGTCTTGGTGGGCTTGATTGAGGGAAGTGGGATATCCTGAATATATCCTGGGGGCTCACACCTCCCCTCCATGTGCCTTCCCCACTTCAGGTGGCCAGGGCAGAGGTGCCAGGGGGCACTCTCAGGGCTTCCAGGAGTTCGCCTCTGACCTAACTCTGGAGGAAGTAACTCGATGTCCTCAAAGACAGGGTGTATGTAAGTGTGTGTGTGTGCGTGTGTGCATGCTCGCATACACCTGTCTGTCTTAGTCTTGAGACCGCAGCTTCTCTGCGGTTATTTGTATGACAGTTGGTCCTGCTTTGAGAAATGTTATTTGTATGGTTGTCTATCTGGCTTTGGAGAATGAGGTTATTTGTATGGATCTCTGTCCAGCTTTGGGAAGTGGGGTTATTTGTATGACTGTTGGTTCTGCTTTGGGGCATAGGGTTATTTGTATGACTGTCTGTCTGGCTTTGGGGAATGCGGTTATTTGTATGGCTGCCGGTCCTGCTTTGGGGAATGGTGGAGAGGGGTTGTGGGAGGTGGGTGATGGCGATGAGAAGACAGGTACACCTGTTTTTAGCCACAAGGGAATGACCAGGGTCCCAGGTGGAGCCAAGAGAGGCTGGGACTGGGGAACACGTGAGGGATGGCTTCCGTCTCCGATGGGACCTGTGAAAGGCCTCCCCATGCCTTATTTTGGGGGATGGGGGACAAGGGACAGGGTCAGGGACCATGAGTTCCTGAGTCTTTAGGCCAAGCCATTGCCCCTGGTAAAAAATGTGTCTTGTTCTCCTTCTGCCTTTCGAAGCCCAGCTCCTAGTGGAGACAGACACCTTCGGTAGTCAAGTCCGGATCAAGGGCAAGGAGACGGAATTCTACCTGTGTATGAACCGGAAAGGCAAGCTCGTGGGGAAGGTGAGTGATGGCCCTGAATTCCCGGGAACTTGGGGGTCCCCCTGGCAGCTCTGGGGAGCTGGGATGTGTGTCCAAGACCCTGTCAGCCCCAAATGGAAAACAGGCCCTGCGAGTGTGTGTATGTGTGTATGTGTGTGATTCCCATTGTAATCTCTTCTTTTCACCCCCTTCTTTGCCCGGCACACCAGCCTGCCAGGCCAAGTTTCCATGGCTGTGAGTTTGGGGTAACTGCAGGGCCCAGATCTCTCAAGGTGGAAGTGGAGCTTCGGTAGTGGGAGAAACTTCGGGGTGTCCTGGGGCTCCCCAGCTGAGTGTACCTGATGTCTGGGAACAAGGAACTGGAAGGCCAAGGGTGGTGGCTGCAGCAATTGTTTTAACAATCGCCAGAGGTTTATAGTGCTTTGCAGCAGCTGCCTACGGAACGTGGACTTTTGTCGGCTCACCAGGCCTCACGGTTCTAGCATTTCAGGAAGATTTTATTACTTTGCAATGGGCAAGAGAGCTGCGTGTAACGAATTAGGGCAGGGTGTCGAGATGGACCTACATGCTGGAGGCTCTGAGCCTCTACTGGTGCTGTGTCTCTGTGCCCCCCGTCTTATTTCTGGGTGTGCTTGTTTGTGATGTTCACACACTTACTTCCTTTGGGTGTTCACATGGAGGGTAACACTGGCAGCAGCTCTATGGTGGAGTCATGCTCTGTGTCCACCCTTCTCTCTGCAGGGACCCTACGCACCTCCATAGCCATCTTGCATAATGTGGGGAGGGGGCTCTGTCTGGGCTTGCATAATGTGGGGAGGGGGCTCTGTCTGGGCAGGTGGAGTCGGGGTAGAGGGTAACCCCAGACTGCAAGGGAGGAGAGCTTCTCCTGCTTGAGGGCAAGGCCCTGGATGATTATCAGTCCTTTACTACACCGCCTTTGGGGAAGGAGGTGACCACAGTCTTGTAAACAAGCAATGTTTTTGATTTTTCTGAATGGCCACTTCCTACCCCTCTCTCTGCCTCCTCTCCTTTATGCGCAGGGCGCTGAGGAGAGTGTAACATGCCAGGGACCTGAGCCACGGTTTTGTCGTATTATTATTATCAGTTAATAATAACGGTAACTACTGCCTCCCTTAATTGAGCACCTACTTTCTGCCAGGCTCTGAGCAAAAATGCTCACAGAGAATCCCATGAAGTCGCTACCATTATCTTCCCCTGTTTCACAGATGTGAAAGCTGAGGCTTGGCAGTGTCCCGGGCACTTGTCCCAAGTCTCACGCTAGAGCTAGGCGGGATTCGGAGCCCTATTTGGAAGGAAAACATTCCAGCTGCACTGCCCACAATCTCTTAAGCGTCCCAAAGAGCAAAATAATAGTAATCCGAAGAGCGCGTCTTCTCGATGCCGAGGAGTGGTTTTAATTAGTGATTCACTCTGCAAAGCCCCGAGGCCAGCCGGCCGGCGTGGGGGC